TAATAATAGATTTTATTTTATAGCGTTTAACCTTGAATCGTTTTGAAACATCTGCTCATTTAATTTTTCGTTTTTCGTTTTTTTTTTTTTTTTTGTATTTCGTCAAACAATAAAGACAAGAAAAAAAGGTATTTATTATTATTATTATTATTTATTAATTTATTTTGACGTCATTAATTTATTTAAATCGAAACGTTTCGAATTTTTTTATTTAATTAATAACAAACAAAAATGTTTTTTTTTTCATCGTTTTCCCCCCGTGCCATTTGATTACGAACGAACGAACGAACGGACGCCATATTGATTTTTTGTTTTGATCGTTCGTTCGTTTTTCTTTTTTTTTTTTTAACGTTTTTTTTTTAATTTTTTAATTTGTTAATTTAATTTAATTTAATTTTTCGGATGACGATCGCGTTTTCTTTTTTTTTTTTTTTATTTCCTTCCGTTTTGTCTAACACTCAATCATTAACCTTTTTGTTAAATGGGTCAAATTCGTTTATATAAAATGATTATAAAAAGGTTATGGTGGCATTTTAAAAACACCTGACGAAGGTTTAATTAATTAATTAAAAAAACATTTGTTAACGTGAACGTTTTTGTTTTTTAAATTATGTCAATATAAATTTTCTAACATAACCTTTTGAACCCCCCCCCCTCCCAAAAAATTGTATTTACTCATATTTTTTTTGTTTTGTTTCAGGGATACAAGCTGTCATGATTTATACTCATATCGAAAAACATAATAATAATAATTATAATAGTAAATAAATAAAAATAAGAAGAGAAGAAAAACTGGCAATGAAAATTAAAAAAAAAAGGAAAAAAATCTCATAGAAAACGATTGTTTTTTTTTTTTTTTGTTTTTGTGAAATCGCTTCACAAAATAATTTTACTAATCGAATGTGATTATGGAGTCAATATTAATGATAATGATGATAATAATAATAATAATAATTCAAGTGACCACCTGTGTGCATTAGTTATAATAGTGATAGTCATGGATAAATTAAATTCAATACATAAATTAAAACTTTTAGATTTGAATCCTCATTTAATGTGTGTCCTATGTGGAGGATATTACATTGATGCGACAACAATTGTAGAATGCCTACATTCGTGTAAGTTTTGATTAAATTTTAAACATTACATTTCGATCATGATCAATCAATCAATCAATCAATCATTCTTTCTCTCTTTCGCCCCCCCCCCATCAATATTGATATCGATGAGATTTAAGAGAGAGAGAGAGAGAAACATTTCGAAAAAAAAATTCTCAAATCGAATTCTTATACACTAAACAACCATTACCATAATAATTTTTTTTTTTTGTGTGTGCAAAAATGACGTCATTTCCTTTTGCAATTTATTTAAAACAATGGGTGATAATAATAATAATAATAATATTTTCGTCACGCATGTTTGCAATATTAATAGTCATAGTAATAATAATAATAATAATAATATAAATTTTTTTTAGTTTGCAGATCCTGCATTGTTAAGCATTTGGAAAGTAGTAAATATTGTCCGATATGCGAAGTACAGGTACACAAAACGAAACCTTTGCTCAACATAAGACCGGATAAAACGTTACAAAATATCGTTTATAAATTGGTACCGGGTTTATTTGCAAGTAAGTTCACTCGCTCAAGGGACTAAACCAATAATAATCGATCGATCAATCAATCAATCAATAATAGAATCGATTTATTTAAATAAAAAATTAATGTTATTCAATCATTTCATTCGTTCATTGTTTTCCAAACGCGCCTTGTTTTTTTTTTTTTTATAAATCATCGTCCTTGTCAAAAAACATAAATGGAAGGTATCATTGTAGTGGTACTGGTACTGGTAGTAGTGGCAGTGGTAGTGGTAGTAGTAATAATTGGTCTTTCGTGTGTCTTTATAATGAATCCACCACTACCACAACAAAACAAAAAAACCCAAGAAGAAATTTTTGACATTGAATTAATTATTATCATTATTATTGTTGTTAGTACAATAACACCGTGCGTTATTAATTTAATTTATTTATTTTGTTTGTTTCTAGATGAAATGCGAAGCAGAAGAAAATTTTACAGGGAAAGACCTCATTATATAAAGCCAACAAATTCCGAATTGATCGGTGAAGTTTCAAATGAAATTTACATAAACGATGATAACATCACTTTTTCATTAGTTTATCATGCGGGTTCGATTACGTCATCATCTAATAATTTTGGAGAAGGTTACAGGGAAATTTTACCGCCGTTTCATCAAGTGAGTTTTCCCGCTTTCCTTTTCCTTCCTCTCCCCCCCCCTCCGCATTTCCACCCGCCTCGAATTGTTTATTATATGTGATGTGTATGATTCATTTTTATTTAAATCGAGTAAAAAAAAAGTGCGACAAAAAGGGTGACTAACAAACGACTTTGGGGGGGGGGAAAAAAAAAAAATGGCCAACTAAAAGGGGTTAAGATATTAAATTGATATATTATGATTTGTCACGCGAATTTTTTTAAAAAAAAGAACAGGTGAACTTTGAATATTATTTTTTTTATGGGGAGGGTGAAAGAGAGAGAGAGAGAGAGGGGGGGGACACACTTTTGAATGAGGAATTAAAAAAAAAAAAAAATGTATATTATTATTTTTCATTTGAATATTAAAAATTTAAGTTTTATAGTTTCCTCCTAATCCTTTAACCCTTCCCTTCCCCTTTCTTCCCAACCCTTCCCTTTTTTTCCCTACGCTTTGTCATTATCCGCCATTTTTCCACTTTTCATTCCCGTCTCCTCCGCTTATATACATATATATATATTTTAATTTTTTTTTTTTTTTACCTTGAAAATCTCGCGTAAATTATTATTATTATTATTATTATTATTATGTCGTGAGGGAGGAGGTTAATTATTAAGGTAGAAGTTGGAAATGGAAAATCTCGTGGATTTAGTTAATGTTTTGGTAGGAGAGTGGGAGGGGCAGGGGGCGGGCGTTTGGACTCATTCCGCGTGTTTCCTTTCCTTCGTTTGTTTGTTTGTTTGTTTGATTTATTAACCGTTTTTGTTTTTTTGCAGGATTTAAAAAGGTATTTTAAATGTCCCACGGGAGTAACCGTTTATCACCTCAAGAAATTGCTCAAAAAAAAATACGATTTAAACGATAACAATTACAAAATGGAAATTTACTTAATGGATCAACCTCTAAGAGAAGAATTAACACTCCTCGACGTTTCTTACATATACCATTGGAAAAGTGTTGGTTTTAATTTTGTTTGTTTGTTTGTTTGTTTGTCGAACAATGCATCGATCTATCGATTAATTAAATTTAAAATTGTTTGTTTGTTTGTTTGTTTGCAGAAGGGTAGTTTGAACCTGACGTGTAAAATATTCGAAAACGTTATCAAGCGTCAAAAATTAGAAGAAAAATTTTACAGTAATGCTAGTTTGACGACGGGAATGAGTAGTAGAGAAGAAACGGAAGGAAAGAAAGAACGGATAAATTGTACGGAACCAAAGATGAATGAGGTTAAGAGAGAAAAGGAGGAGGGAATGGAAGTCGTGGGGAAGAAAAAGAAGAAAAACGACGGCGAAAGTGAAAAATTGAAAAACGGCGAAAGTCATGGGAAATCCGATGTTGATAACACGATATCGAGGATCGGCGAAATCGGGAAAAATTCGTCGCCGTCGGATTGTAAAAAAGAAAATGTCCAGCCGACGGGATCGTCGTGTGATGCTCACAATAAAACGGAAACGTCCAAAGTCAAAGAAAACGGCGTCGTCGTCAAGGAGGGGGAAAGTAAAGAAGTTCAATTGCAAATAAGTGAATCGGGTGTTATGAGTGTGTCACAGGTTGAAGACGGAAAAATCGTTAGAACACTCGAAGACGCTCCGCCGAAAGTTATTAACAATCAACATTTAATTACGGGTTTAAGTTTAGGTCTTAATAAAGGAAACGATAATGGTGGAGAAACGAACGGGAATAAAGTCGATGGTAACAACGTTGATCGAACACCGGTGGTGACGACGACGACGACGACAACGGTGGCGGCGGTTACACCGGCCTCGGTGGCGACGGCAACGTCGACGTCGACGGCGGTAACGGAATCCCATCGTAAAACGTCAACGAAACCGGTTAAATCGTACAAAACGATTCGATGCGCTCCGAAAACGTGGAATCCGGTCATACCAAAAGAAAAACTTCGTCCGACTCTGATGAAAAACTCACCGGAAGAACCGAAAAAACCGTTGAAGTTTTTCAAAATGAGAAACATGCCGCGGTTTTTGGGCAATCCATCGAGCGGCGTCAAACCGCTTTTCGCTCACGAACCCCAGGAAAACAACAACGGAGAAGAGGATAAGAAAAAAGGGCAGGATAATAAAAAGCAACAACAACAACCCGCGGAAACGGTTAAAAATAAAATATTGAAAATCGATCCGAAAACTCTTAGGCCCATTGAGAAATCGACGTCGGAAGACGTCAAAGTAACGCCGACGACTCCGACGGTTCCGAACCTTCTCACGAATCCTTTCATACCCAACAACAATCATTTCCTTTTCAGCGATCTCCATTTGCTTCCTCCGAATTGTGGAAATTTTACGAATTCAAAATTCGACGTTAAAAACAACGACTTCGCCCCCGACAAATCCCCTCCGACGGGTGGGATTTTTAAAAATCCTTTACCGAACGGAAGTTATCCTCCCATATGTTTCCCGACTCCCGACCACAAATCAAATTTTTATCCCTTTTCGAATTTGACAAAACCTCAAAATTTTCCATTTCCCGTCACGGATAAAATGGATCCGCTCCTTCGAGCGTCTCGTCTGTCACCCTTCGGTAACCTCGCCGGATTCAACGTGGCAGGATTTCACGCGAGTTTGCCTCCGAGCATAAGTCGATTACTCAATCCGCACCATCATTTTCGTAAAATAAATCAATCGCTCGAAAACAACAACAACAACAACAGCAGCAGTAGCAGCAGCGGCAGCGGGAGTAGTAGCGGTGGTAGTAGTAGTAATAGTAGGAAAAACAAAGATGAAAGTACAAAAGTAGAAACGAAAAATAATGCAACTAACTGTGATGATAGCTTAAAGATAATAACGAATGCGACGGACGCCACCTCAGGTAACGAAAATGTTTCGACGGTGAAAAACGAAGAGAATAAAATGAATAATACGGTGGTTGGGAATAGTTCAAAAGGCGAGACGGAAAAAGAAAAGGAGACAAAAAAAGAAGTAGAAGTGAAAGTGAGGGAGGAGGAAGGAAAAAAAGATGAAGGTAGTAACAACAACAACAACGACGGTGATAAAAACGAGATAAAAGAAAAAGAAAATGGAAAAGAAACAAACGATAAGATAGAAAATAAAAACTCGGACAAAGTAGTAGACGGGAGCGAAGTAATAAAAAGAAAAGAAGACAAAACGGAAACGGAAATGAAAATAACGGAAAACGACGAAACGACGAAAGAAAAGTCAAATGATGATGATGATGATAATGATGATAAAAAAAACTGTAAAGAAAAATGTGACGATGATAAAAAAAACATGGAAAAAAAAGAAAATGAAACGGTAATGAAAAAAAATCAATCAAAAACGGAAACGTGGGATGTAAATACCGGGGAAAGCGGGAATAAAACGGAAACGGAAACGGTTGAGAAAACTCTTGAAAATAATCTAATTAAAGGAAATGAAAAAAATGTTAGTATTAGCCAGGGGGGAAATATAAAAATAAATAACGAAAGTGCCTCAATAGCAGAAGTCAAATCGATTCGTGATAATAATTCACATGTTGATGATAAGGATACAAAGAGATAGATAATATTTTTTTTTTTTTATATTTTATATATAGATATATATAAATAAATAAATTTTATTGATTTGTTTTTATTGTGGGGGGGGAAAGGAGGGGTGGGGGAAAACGCGAGAGGGTGAAAGTGTTTGTTATGCAATCAATCAATCGATAAATCGATAAATAAATGAAAAAAATTTATTTGTGAAAAATTAAAATCGAAAAAGAAACGGTTTTTTTTCTTTCTCTGTCACTCCCGCTTCTTTTGTTGTTAAACGGTCGGATAAATGCATTGTTGCCAAAATTTAAATTAGGCAACGAGTCGAATAGCGAGTCGTTTTTCGTTCCGTCGGTCACGTGATTTTTTTTTTTTTTGTTATATTTATTTTCTTTTCAGTCGTTTTGAAACGAAGTGAAAAAATTAATTAAAAAAAAAAAAAAAAAAGAAATGAAGGAATAATTAAGGCCGTAAGTAAAAATAATAATAATAATAATAATAATAATGATGATGATGATGATGATGTGGGGTATAGTTAAAAAGGTAAATAAAAAAAATAAGAAAAAAAAAGTTTTATAGTCAAATGGCGGATAATTAATAGAGACAACACATAAATAAAATAAATGAAACAGGTTCGGCAACATTAAAAAAAAAAAAGCGATGACGACGACGCAGAGAGAGAGAGAGAGAGAGAAAATAAGGTAATAAGGTAAAACGTAATAATTATCAGAACGCAGCCGCAAATATTTTTAGTAGCAAAACTTTTTGCTTAACCTTCTCTCTCTCTTTCTCGCTCTCTCTGTCTCTTTCTTTCTCAATTCGCCATCTACGCAGGGCGGAAGGAGGAAGGGGGGAAAAGGGAAAGGGAGAGCAGCAAAAAAAAAATTTTTTTCGGTAGTCAAACGTTCAACGTTCGCCGTTGAAAATGTTCGTTTTACAACGTTCGCATTAAACGCAATAAGAAAAGAAAAAAAAAAAAGAAAAAGAAAAATTTTTTCGTCGGTCGTTTTCGGTCGTGTGATAATTTTTTTTTTGCCCCCCCCCCCAAAGACGCCATAATCGTCAATTATTATTATTATTAACATCATCATTATTAATTTTTTTTTTTTTTTAGCTTTAGAGTAAAATTTTTTTTTGTTTTAATTGTGCGTGAGTTTGTTAATGTGCGTTTGTGCGTGCGCGAGTGCAGTAGTTTCGTTTTGTGATTTCCGGTTTTGTTATGAATTATTTAAAATTGGCGGGAAAATCGTTTTAAAAAGTAAGTTTAATTATTATTATTTTATATATTTAACGAACGTTTCTGTGTTTTGTCACGATAAAAAACGAGGTAAGTAAAAAAATTTTCTTTTTCCCTTTTTTTTTTTTTTTTGAACGCATATAAAGAGAGAGAGAGAGAGAGAGAGAAATGTTAAAGAGAACGGCGAACGTACGAGAATATTAATAAGAAAAAAAAAAAAAATTTTTTTTTTGTTTCGGGCTTAAACTTTATCGAATTTAAAAAAATTATCATACATTTTTCTTTTGTGTGTGCCGTTCGCCGTTCGCCCGTTCACCCGTTCGCTTTTCCGTTCGTTTCTACGAAATTTTTTCCATTTTTTTTCCCCGTTCGAACGTACCTTAACCCAAAATTTTTAAAATTGACCCCGGGGGGAGAAGAAGGGGGAAAAATATCATCATTAACGATTGATTCGATAAAAAAACGTTCGCGTCGGTAAACGAAATTGAAAAAGTTTTCGATTTATTTACGATAGAAAAAAAAAAATCGAATCGTCACCGTTCGATATATCGAAAAAATTTCGATTTCGTTAAAAACAGTAACAAATCGGAGGGGTAGGGTAGGGTAGGGGGGTAAAGGGCAAAAATTATTATTTTTCCTTTTCTTTTCTTTTTTTTTTACGTATATATTATTATTTCTTTTCGTTTCGACGCCATTTTTTTTTTTTTGTTTTCGACTCGGAAAAAGAAAAAAAAATTTAATAAAATAAATAAATGAAAAACGATTTCCCATTATTATTTTCGCAAAAAATAAAAAAAAAAAAAATTTTTTAAACAAAAAAACAATTTGTAAAACTCACACAAAATGTTTTTGTTATTATTATTATTCGTCTTCTGCTTTTCATAATAAGAAAAGGAGAAAAAATAAGAAAAAAACTTTTTTTTTGTTTTTTTATCATTTTCTTCTTTTTTTTTCTTTTATTTTTTCCATTTCTTATCTCGAAACGAAAAAAAAAAAAGGAAAACTTTTTTTTGTCGTCGTCATTCAAGTCGTCGTATTTTGAAAATAAATACAAAAAAAAAAAAAAAGAAAAAAGAAAAATGTTTCGTGACCCTTCGTGAAAAAAAAAAAAAAGAAAAAAAAATTTTTTTTTTTTTTTTTTTTGGCCCGCGTTTTATTTGTCTAGCCTTGAAAATGGTAAAAATCACATTAAGAAATATTTTTGTTTATTATTATATATATATATTGGTGACCCTGGTGCAATTAAAATTTTCTTTTTTTTTTTTTTTTTTATTCATTCTATTTAATAACGATTTCATCATATTTACTTCATTATTCCTTTTTTTTTCTTCAAACTATCAATATTGTTATTGTTATTGTTTTCGTCATCGTTACGTCATCAATATCGTCATCAGAAAAAAATCAACCAATCAAAACTCAGTAAAATTTATACGTATAATGTTTTATATATATATATAAATTTCTGAACGTACTCTAATACATGACAAAGTTAAAGTGCAACGAGTCGTTTAAAAGAAAAAAATGAACCTCACCCCACTACTACTCACATTCAATCTTTGACTCCTCCTACTTTTTTTCACTTCTCACTCATCCCCTTTTTCTTTTTCCAAGAATTACTATTATCATTATCATTTGTTTTTTAAACTTGTAACCGAACGCGCCATTATTTAAACTCCATTTTTTTTTTTTTTTGTATTTAATAACCGTCGTTAACCGTTTTTATATTATTCGTAAATATTTCCTTCCGTGTCGTTTTTTTTTTGTTCCGCGACAAAAATAAAAAATAATAATAATAATAATAATAATAATAATAATTATCAAAGTGGAAAGAACAAAAAATTAATAATAATAATAGTCGTGGCAATAAAAAAAGAAAAAAAATTCATTTAACCGACGAAAATTATAAATTTTTTTTTTTTAAAAAAAATTCATAAAAAATTTTTTTATTATTCAGTCGCAAAAAAGAAATAAATAATCGTTATCATTACGTGATATGGTACGATGGTTAAAAAAAAAAAAAAAAAAAAATAACGACCGCCGATTTCTAAAGCCACGTCAAAAACTTTCTTAACCTACGTCATATGGTAATAATTAAAAAAAAAAGTAAATATTAAACGCGATGCTGTTTTTTTTTTTTTTTTTTTTTGGAATATAAAAATTCGCGCGCGTTTTTTTTAAATTTCGCTATTGGTTACAAAAAAAAAATTTAAATTACGCGCGCGTTTTAAAAACGCGCGTACACGCGATTGGTTGCGTGATTATTTTTAATATACGCGGGGTCAAAAGACTTCCGGGGTTTTTTTCAGTAAAAATGATTTTTAAAAACGCCGGGGGAGGGGAAAAACGAATTCGTGATTTAAAATCCAAATCAGTGATGCCAACGGAAGCACACACACACAAAAATATATCGAAACGCGATTCGATTCGAGATCTTTCGAGATAAATTTTTATCTCGTTTAGTTTTTTTTTTGTTTTTTAAAATTTATCGTTATTACTCGTTTTGAGTTTCGATACTCTCGATTTGAAAATATCGAAAATAATCGATAATTTTTTTTATCATGTAAAGTCATTTATTAAAATAATGATAATGATAATGATAATAATAATAATAATAAAGTTAAAATTTTTTTGTCCCGTTATGTTTGTCCTCAATTTTTTCCATTTTTTTCATTACGTTTTATTTTATTTTTCCAGAAGGTCGTTCCGTCGGTCGGTTGGGGGGATGGGGGGCGAGCGGTTTGTCGGTTGGTTTTATGATTTTTTCAATTTTTTTTTTTTTTCCTCATGTATTTAAGCAATTATTACGTCACGAACGCGACAGTAAAAATAAAGTAATAAAATCATAAAGTAATAAAAAAAAAAAACCTTCGACGACTCTTTGCCGATTAAAACGAATTGTTTTTTTTTTGTATTTTCACCGCGATTCCGCCATGTTTTTTTTTCCTTTTCTTTCCGTTTCCGTTTTTCAATGTTTATCGAATTTACGATTTAAAACGCGAGTTGTTTAAATCGATTCGATTTATCTATGATTTATCATTATTTCCCCCCCCCCAATTTTCACTTCTCTCTCTCTCTCTCTCTCTCCCTTTTCTTTCACGTGAAAAATAATAATAATAATAACAATGATAATGATGATAATAATGTTAATAAAATAAAAATCACGTAGTTAGTTTCCTATGAAATTCAATATATAATAAATTCTCGTTTACTTTACTTTCCCTTTATATTAAAAAAAAAAAAAAAAAACAACGATAATAATGATGATAATAATAACGGAAAACTTTTTCTTTTCCGTTAAAATATTCTCGACGATCTTCACGAGGGAATTGCGGGGGTATGAAAACGCGGCGCAGGAAAAAGAACGTAAAGGAAAACCCCGGAGAAAAAATATAATAATAATAATAATAATAAAGTTTCAGGCTTCGACGAAGAAAAAAAAAAAATTTGCAGTGCAAAAATTATTATTATTATTATTATTATTATTATTATTATTATTATTATTATTATTATTAATATTGTTTTTTTCCCTTCTTCTCCATCCCTCTCTCCCTTTAAACTTTAAACTGGAAAAATATTTTTTTCATTTTTTTTTTTTATTGTTTTTCTCTCTTCTTCTTTTTTCACCCCCTTCCCCCCCCCTCTCTCTCTCTCTCATTTTCTTCACCGAAAAAAGAAAAAACAAGTTTACGTCAAAAATTTCTGTCGTCGTAATAAATAAATAAAAAAATACGAAAATTTAAATCGATACCTCGAATTTTTCAAAAATTTATCCAATAGTAATAATAATAATAATACTTATTATAAGTATTTTTTTTGTTTTCGTCACGTTGGCAACGCTACGATAAAACCCGCAATTTTTCGAAAATTGTCAATGTTGCCAATTTAAAAAATATATTCCGGTAAATTTTTTTTTTATACTTTCTTATCTATATTATTATACCTTTTTTTTATCGTTATCGTCATTATTATTATTATTTTCACTCATAATCACCACAATTCGTTTTAATGTTTGTCGGAATTTTTTATAAATTTATTCCAGGCTTTTTACATCGATTCCTTAGGGATAAATGCCTAAATATTACGTTATAAAATAATAATGTTACGTATTTAAATAGGTCTTTTATAATAGTAAATTTATAACCTAAACAGCATCACAAAAATTCTTGTAAGTCTCACTGAGACCATCTTATTTGATGGAAACAAGTTATCTCCTGTACTCCTGGGCTCCAGTGATTGACATCTATGGAGTTGCCAGAAACAGGAGAAATGAGATTCACAACCTTGTCAAGAGCTGACTCAGATAATAGACAATAGAACCTGATTTGTTTTGGTTTTGTCTTTATCTTGTTCTCATTTTGCTCTATTACAATTAATAATCAGTCATCATACATCAACTTTTCCCTCAGAACTATTTCAATACTTAATTTTCCTACTATTTCCCCTTTTCATGATTTCCCCTCTTGCATTCCATCCTTTCAATGTATGCACACAGTATACATATACAACTACAGTACACAAATTACACTGTTGTACCTATAAACTTAAGTAATCTGAAGACAGTTGAACTTTTCTAATCTTAAATGACATTAAAATAGAATTTTACACTAAACATATGACAAAATATGTTACAATGAAACAAACTAACCTAATAAAAGAGTTAAAGTAATGTACAATCAATAGATTCACACTTAAAATCAAGAATACAGAGATTTTACATCATCCACCTGATACAATAAATGAATTAATTACAAGTATTTATATTAAACTACCTCTATTCCTACTTAGTGTGACAGGAGGTACATAGTTCAACTACTCATAATCAGCTCAAGAGATGTACAATCATAAAATGGAGTCTGTTGTGTCTTTTCATAATTCCTTACACTAAAATCAACCAACATAAAGGCTAAATGAATTTGATACAGATTTATTGAGAGTATTACACCATCTGTATGATACAGTATGTTGTAATGAGACAAACTAACTCAAGAAAAGACCTAAAACAACCAACAATCAGTAAATTAACCCTTAAAGGTTAGAGAGTATAGAAATTTATACACTGAGTTAATGTATATCAAATCAATCAATAATTAATAAATATTATTATTAAATCATTCCCCCCCTTGTTTTTTATCATGAGATGAAAAAGATATTTAGTTAAACTACCCATAATTACCCAAATAAGTATAAAATTTTTCAAATTTTTTGCTTTCTCCATTTCTAGGTTAGCCTGACATTTTGCAAGTGAAATTTAAATTTTAAAATGAGGTACTTACAAGTAATAATTAGATACCCTAAGTCATCTTTTAAGGTTTTTCATTACCCACGCTTCCTTTTGTCAGAAAAACCGTTGACCATTTGCAAATTTAAACTAAAAATAATGAAATTATTACTAAATAATATAAAAAACTAATTATAACACAATAAACTAAACACAATAACAAAACTTTTGATATATAACTTATAACTAAATCGTTAAAAAATAAAAACTATTAAAATTAATTAAAAATTTGACAAAATGTCGTAAACGCGCCATGTCAATCGTTGCACACGCGCGCCCTCTACTTTCTAATTATTATTATCATCGTCGTCGTTAAGATGACGACAACAATCAAAACGATTATTAATTAAAATTTTTTCTTATTTTCAAGTATCACGAAACGTTACGGATATTAAAAAAGAAAAACGTTAAATCAATTTAAAGAAGAAAAGGGAAGAAGAAGAAGAAGAATACACAAGAGAGGAAAAAAAGCAGAAGAAGAAGCAAAAAAAAAAAATGAAAAAAATTTTACAAAAATCATCATTACCTTTTTTTTATTAATGTTTAACAAATGAGGCGAGGTCACGTGGCTCCGAGGACGACAATTATAGAAACAATCATCCGGAAATTTGACACGCACAGTGAGTATTATTATTATTATTATTATTAATTATAACTTCCGCCATTCTTCTCTCTCTCTCTCTCTTTCTCTTCTTTTCTTTGGGGAGTGCGAGTAATTTCGGGAATCGGGGAAGAAATCTACGATGATGATGATGATGATGATGATGACGTAGAAAATGATTTCTGTTAATCCATCCATATGAAACTGCCGTAAAAAAAAATGCATTTTGAAAAAAATTCGACAGGAAAAAAAAAAAAAAAAAAAAAAAGAAAGTTATATCGACCACATTGCCAAATAAAACATATATAAACGATTGATGGTGAATCGTAAATAATAATAATAATAATGATAATAATAATAATAAATGCTGGCCGTCAGAAAATAAAATTTTTTTTTTTTTTTTCTCGTTACGTCAATAAGCTCGGAAAAAGTTTTTTTTTTTTTTTTTTTTTTGGCTAATCCAATAACAAATCGATACGGAAAAAAAAAAAAAATTGTTATTCGCGTTTTAGATCGTGGAATTAGAAAAATAAAAAAAAAAAAAATTTTTTTTTATTTTATTTTTTTTCCTTTGCATTTTATTATTATTATTATTATTAATATTTGTTTTTGTTTTGATGTTTTCCCCTCTGTAATTTTTGAAAGAAAAAATTTTTTTTTTTTTGTCGTAAATCGAACGATTTTTGTTCAAGTGTCGTAAACACATTTAAATCCTTTCACGCACTATGATAATGATGATGATGACCTTTTCGATAATAATAATAATAATCTCTTTTTGATTTCGTTTTCGTTTTTCCCTTTCTCCCCTTATCTCCTCTTTTCCTCCTTCCTCCTTCCACCCCGAAATGAGAATTTCGCATGGAAATGTATCATCATCATCATCATCATCATTATCATCGTAATCATTATTATTATTATTATTCTTATTAGGGAAAACGATTCGAAATTAAAATGAATTTTGATTTTTATTTATTGAGGTAAGGTAAATAGGGAAAAGGTTAAACGATCATTTTACGTATATTAAACTTTTTTTAAATTTCCCGCCATAATTTTCATTTTATCCGTTAATTTATAATAACTTCCTGTTGTTTGTTCTCGTTTAAAAACAAAAAAAAAAAAGTCGGTTAAAGAAACGATTAAAATTTAAAACGCGGAAAATGATTTGAAAAAAAAAAAAAAAACAAAGGAAAATTTTGAGATGATGGCCGTTTAATGATGATGACCGTTACGAAATTTTCGGGTTTTTTGGCGCGCTTTTTTAAATAATTTAAATTTTTTTTTCATTCGGTTTACGGAATCGAACAGTTTTTTTTTTAAAAAAAAAAAAAATGTTTCGAGTTTTCTGTTTTTACATTCCGAACGTCGCAGGTGCATGTAAAACAAACGTGATCGTATAAAATTTCATTCGTGGCACGAGACAACTGATTTGTTTTTCTTTTTTTTTTCTAGAAAATCTTCTCGGACGATCTTAAACAATAATCGATAAAAATTTTATATAATATTTTTCGAAATTTAAAAAAAAAACGGATCCATGAAAAAATTCGTTACACGTTACGATTAATCCCACGTCATTTTTACATATATATAAGGTAAATTGAATAATAATAATAATAATTTTGACCTCAAACAAATTGGGCCGCGTTTGATTGCTGCAAAAATAAAATCAATAAATAATTTTAATTTGTCGTCATCGTCAACAACGGGTCGGGTCAATAGAAAACAAATTTAATATAATTTCGAATATTCTACGTCAAACGATTATTATTATTATTATTATTATTATTATTATTATTACTGCGGCGACGACGACGACGACGATGATGATGATGATAATTGTCGCGTTTGATTTTTTTCCTTTTTTTTTTTTTTTTTTTTTTTTACTTTTTACTTTGTCGATTTTTTGCTAACGTTAACGGCCGCCATTTTTTTTTTTTTTTTCGTTTTTTAAATCGATAATTTTTGCAGTTAAAAATAAAAGAAAGAAAGAAAGAAAGAAAAAAAAAATAATCGGCTAATAATAATTAAATAACTCCTTACAAGCGTCATTTTGGCCTTTTGAACGATTTTTTTTTTTTTTGCGTTATTCAATTTGCGCAAACTTCCGTCGACAAATTATAAATTAATAATAAAATAATTTCTAAATTAATAATAAATTAATAATAAATTAATAAATAAAATAATTCGACAAAAATGAAAATCGTCATCGTCGTCGTCGTGTCGTCATTACGTTTAACCGATTCGTAAAACAAAAAAAATAGAAAATAAATAAAAAAAAAGTCAATTGACACCGATTAATTTAATCGTAAACGATCGGAAAATGTAAAATGATAAATAAAATTATTATTATTATTATTATTCGTCTCTTCGGCGCCAAATCACTTCATTTCTATAACCACGACAAATTGTTTTAAATTAAAAAAAAAAACCCCATCGTCACCGACCACCGCAATATAAGAAATCGTTAAAAGAAAGAAAGCAACGTTTAATTATTATTATTATTATTATTTTGTTTTTTTTTGCTTTTTTTCCAACGAATGCGTTCTGGAGAATTCCAAAAACTTGAAAAAAATCTTTTCCGTATCCGCGTATATTTCTTAATTAAATTTTTGAAAACAAGAAGAAGAAGAAGAAGAAGAATTGTTTTCATTTTTTTTGTTTTGTATGGAGAAAATTTTTTATTTATTTTCTTCTCTGGAGAATTTTGGAATTTCATATACTTTATGATAATTTCTTCCAGAAATTTCATCATTCTAAATTTTTTTGTAAATTAATAATTCGAAAATAATATTAAACGAGGTTTTTATTATGTGTTGATGTCGTACCTTAAATGACGTCAGAAATGTCGTGTGATTAGAAAAAAAAAAAACGTTATTTCCAGATATTTTTTTTTTTCCAGAAGGAAATTTTTGGATAAAAAAAAAAAGAAAAATTTATTTGCATTCCATCGATTCATCATTGGTTGTTTTATTTTTATTCATATCGTATTTCTATCCAGCGATTTGAATTTACTTTTTTTTTCTTCCCCCCCCCCTCTCTCTCTCTCTCTTCCTGATCTTCTTTCTCTTTTTCTTCCTCCCCGTCTCTCTCTCTTTCACTCTTGTCTTCTTTTTTTTTTCTTCATTTCCTTCTCCTTTTTTTTCCTCTTTCAGTAGCTCTCTCTTTCACTTTGAATTTACTTTCTTTTCTTCTTCATTATTGTCTACTCTCTCCTTTTCTTCTCTCTCCCTCTCTCTCTTTCTTCTTCGCTTTTCCTCCTTTCTTGTAGTGCTTTTTCTCTATTTCTTCTTCTTTCTCTTTTCCTCTTTCAATGGTTCTCTCTCCCTCTCTCTCACTTTCTTTCTCTCTTTTCCTCGTTCTCTTTGAATTTACTTTTTTTTTCTTCCTCTCTTCTTCTCTCTCTCTCTCATTTTCTTCCTCTCCCTACATTTCTATTTCCGTTTTTTTGCCCTCTCTCTCTCCCTTTTTCTTTTTCTTTCTGTGTCTTTTTTTTCTTTCTCTCTCCTCCTTCCTCTCCATTTCTATCAATATTTTCTCTCTCCCTTATCTTTTTCATATTCTTTTCTATGTTTTTCCCCTCACTCTCTTTCTTTTTTCCCTTCATTTCTGTTTTTCTTTCTCTCGCCGATTCTTTTCAATATTTTTTTTTTTAAAATTATTTATTCTACTCAAGTAAAAAATAATTCCAGTCGTTTTTTTTAAACGAAACGCATTTTTCGTTTATTCTCGTCATTCATCATCCATTTTCGATAGTGATAAAACGTTAAACGAAAAATTATTGAAGCGACCGGCCGATTGACGTGTCACCAGACAAAAAAAAAAAAATTTTTTTTCTTGTCTTTCTTTTTTTCCTTCTTTATAATGTCCACATCGTACATTTTTATTATTATTATTATTATTTTAATATAATTTACGCGTTCGTTAAAAAAAGTTTTTTTTTTTTTTAAAGTTGTCTGCCATGTGGTTTTCACTTCGTGGTTAATAAAAATTAAAAAAAAAAAAAAAAGTTAATCTGTGACGCCTTCAACGTTGTTTACGTTTGTCTTTTTTCTCTCATCTCATTTTAGTATTATAACGTGAGCATCAATCAAACGTGATGATTTTTTGGCGGCGGCGTCGGCGGCGGTGGCGGTAGCGTCGACGGCGTGGCGGTAGCAGGTGGAAATAAAAATTTTCCACCCACGTTTTTCTCCTGAGATAGATTTTTAAGATTAAAGAATTCATTCCCGTCTTTAACCACGTTTAATTTTCTTCAATTTTCCGAAATTCAACTTAATTATTATTATTAATCGAACTGATTTGATTTCGTCACGTGTTTTACCATCATCATCATTATCATCATCCTCATTATCATCATCATTGTCGTCGTCGTCGTCGTCGCCATCACTTTCCCGGTTAAATAACCGAATAATAAATTTTTTTTCTTTTAATAATCCGTGAAAATTTTTGGACGTTTGTCTGTTTTTTCGTCAGCAAACAACAGGAAATTTTCAAATCGATACTTTTTCAGTTCGTTAACGAAAATTTTCTTTCCATCTGACGACGACGTAATAAAGTTAATAAAGAAAGTTCTAGAAAAAATTATTAAGAAAAAAAAAAAAAGGAAACGAACTGTGCCTGTTTCCTGTTTAAACTTTTCGTTAACCGATTTCGGTAGCGGGTTTAATATACGAAAAAAATTTTATCCTTTTGGGGTTTTGTCACCAGGGAACGAGGGAACCGTTTGAGGGGGTGGAGTGGGGGCGGGAGCGAAGGGAGAGGTGATAAAAAATGGAAATTTCATCGAATGTCTCACTTAACCGAAGGGTCCAATGCAAGTGACAAAATAATTTAATTTTCATTTTACACTTACCCGACTCCCCTAACAAATCAAAATTTTCCTCATTCTCATATATATATATTTTTTTTTCTTTCCACGAATTTCGTGCTTGTTTGTTTGTTTGTTTGTTTCTCCGTTTGTTCTCATTTAAATTCCTGTATCGTATCTGAAAACGAAATAAACACAAAACGTTTGTGACGGATTTTTTTTTCCTTCTTCCCTTCCCGCCCTATATTTCCCCTTTCCAACCCGGGGGGCGTTAATTAGGCTAAAAAGTTTAATTTTTAACTTACTAAAAAGTCCCTCCCTTTCGCCTCCCATTCTCCTCCCTCCCCCCACCAAAAAAAAGTTCATGAATAAAATTTTTATTTTTCCAAAAACGTTTTAACGTGGTTTTAAAAAATTACATTTTTCAAAATTCTGACGAAAAAAAAAATTCATTAATAAATAATACATACGTTTGGTGCCACGTTTTTTTTTTTTATGTTTAGAACGTTCTGTTACGTCATCATTGAGCTTTATTAGTAAATAATGATAATAATAATTTTTTTTTACATTTTTTCTGGTAAATCCTGGTTCTCTCTCTTTCTCCTTTTCTCTCACTTTTTCCTCTTCCCTTCTCTCTCTCTGTGTCTCTCTTTTTATCTTTTTTTCTCTCTTTCTCCTTCCCTCTCTCTCTCTCCCTCTCATTTTCCTTTGATACGCCATCGTGTTTTATAGATTCCAGTAATTTCACATCTCAAATAGAAATTAAAAGCGTTCCGATCGACGAATTTTAGGTTGGCTCCTCCTCCATTTTATATTTTTACATTTTCCTGTGAAAATTTCAATTTCGATAGTCACGTGACACTCTACGAACGTCATAGAAATTTTAAATTAATTTTCGACCTTTCGAAAGTTTTTGAAAAAAAAAATAATAATTATGGAAAAATAAAAAAATAATTATTGTTATTATTATTATCACCACTTCTTAAAGCCGTTGATCGAAATGATAATAATAATATTTGATGAGAGAGAAAGGCTTTGGTTGAAAACCTTTTTTGGAATCACCTAAAAAAAAAAAAAAACTTCCTGTTATTTTTAAAAAACTCGACGTTTGGTACGTTACCGTTCACGCTCTCTCTCTCTCTTTCTTTTGATGGAATACATCTAACATCGTTATCATTATCATTATTATTATTATTATTTTATTTACACCTATCAAGACTTTAATTAAAAATCATGTCGTCACGATGAAGGATAGAAACAGACCAAAAAAAAAAAAAAAAAAACCGATGCGATTATTGATTTTGCCAATATTAAAAATCGTAAATTATTTTATTGAAGCGTTGACAGTTTTCCTTTCTCTCTCTCTCTCTTCCCCCTCTCTCTTCCTTCAAATATTTTTTTCTGTGTCTCTCCTCTCTCCTTTCTTCCTTTGATTCTTCTTTTCTCTCTCTCTCTTCTCTCTCCTTTCTTCCTCTCTCTCTCTCTCTCTCTCTCTTGTTTCCTCTTCGGAGAAGTCATCATCATCATCATATTCTGTGAAAATGGTACAATAATAAAAAAACAAAGACGTGATTTTCTATTTTGGTTTTTCTCTTTGATGATGATGATGATGATTATCGAGTCGTAAAAGTTCCGAATCGAATTTTTCCCATTATTATTATTATCATCATCATCATTATTATTATTAGTTTCTTTTCTTTTTAGTTTGAACTGAGAAAAAAAGGGGTTAACGATTTTTGGCTTTTGCCTTGTCGGTGACGCAATCACCGCCACCACCATCACCACCACCATCATCATCATAATCGTTTTTATTTGTTTTTCTTGTTTTTTTATTTTTCTTTTGTTTTCGACAGATAGAAGTTTCCTCGTAGCAAATGCTCAACCGGGTAGCTGTCACATTATTTACTGCAGCGATGGATTTTGTAAAATGTCTGGATTTTCAAGAGCCGAGGTCATAGGGAGACCCTCCGTTTGCGAATTTCTTCATGGTCCTCTCACGTCTCAATTGGCCGTTCAATCGGTCAAACAAGCGTTCAATACATACGTTGAAAAACATCAGCAAATTTTATATTATAGAAAAGACGGTAAGTTTTTCATTATTATTATTATTGTTGTTGTCGTCCTCGTCGTCGACGTCGTCGCACGTGAACGTCACTTTCGATTTTTAGGTTAAGGTGGCTCTCTCACAGCAGCCAAAATTTTAAAAAATTTTTTATTTATAGAATTTTGAACGATTACAAAGGCCAAATTATTATTATTATTATTATTTATGTTACAATAACACAATGAGTGAGTTGAAAAAAAAAAGTGTGCCACATCATTCTCTCTCTCTCTTTTACATCTTTCTCTTTCTGCACCTTCTCTAAATTTTTTCGATCGATTCCACATTGTTGCCTATCAGAAATTAGAAAAAGATAGAAAGGGGAAGAAAATTTGACACAACAAACGACGGGGATATCACTGCAACAAAATATTAATATTACCAATATACGCATACTCCTTCTCCCCCACTCTCTCTCTCTTTTTCCCCCCCCCCCAAAAAAAAGCGAGAGAAAATGCGTGGGAGATTTTGGCATCTTTCATTATAATCTATAAATAAAATTGCATTTGTTTATGCCGCGCACCTTTTACATTTTAATTCTAAATGATATTAAACGTTTTATTCCTTTTAAAAAAAATATTAATAATAATAATGATAATAATAATAATAATAATAATAATAATAATAATAATAATAATTTGGGAAAAAAAGCGCGACATTTTCCCAAAAATTGTTTCGGACCAAAGAGTCCGAAACGAAAGAAAATTTTTTTAAAATTTTTTTACCCTATCGTAAAACCGTTGGTTCGTTTTTTCGTTTTACGTCAGCAATTTATCATTTGATTGTTATTATTATTATTATTATTATTATTATTATTATTGTTATTATTATTTTTTTTTTTTTTTTGTTCTCTTTGATTTTCCGACAACCGGCAAAAATATTTCAACGAACAATATGTTGTTACTACGCTTTAAAATTTACAAAAACGATTTTACTTAATTGTTTTTTTTTTTGTTTTTTGTTTTTCGAAATAATACGGCGTTAAAGAAATGAAGAAAAAAAAAATATGGCAGAGGTAGAAAGAAGGAGGAAGTGAAAGAGTGTTGAAAGAATCAGAGAGAGAGAGAGAGAAAAACAAAGAGAAAGAAAAGAATAGATACAAAACAACACACACACACACACAAACAAAAAGAGAGAAAAATAGAGAAAGTGGGTAGAGAGAGAGAGAGAGAGAGAGTGAATATATTTTATAATATATATAAAAAACAACAACAGCAACAGCAAACAGCCAAAAAAAAAAGTGAGGGGGGAAGGGGAGAATTTTTATACATTTCGTAAAATAAGTTGGTAACAAAATAAATAATAAATCAATAAGTCGGATTATGACGACGACGACGGCTCCCCACCCCCACTTTAAAAAAAAAAAACCAAAACAAACCGAAAAAAAAATTACTATTATTATTATTATTATTAGTGTTTTTCTATGGAAATTTTGTTTGCATGCATATTGATAACGAAAAAAAAATTTTCCCCGTTGTTTGTTTTCGTTTTTTTTTTTTTTGCAAAAAATTACACCCGAGAGAAAAATAAGAAATAAAACGTAAATATTTGCACGGAATTCGATAAACTCGATCTCTCTACCCCCCCAAAAAAAAAAGATATTAAAACTTTGTACCTTAACGCCATTTTTAATTTATTATTATTATTATCACCACCACCGCCACCATCATTATCGTCATCGTCGTCGTTTCTCTTTCTTTATTCTTGTCATCCTAAAATCAACAAAAAATTTTAACGAAAGTTTTCATCTCATTTGATTTTTTTCCTATTTATCGATCAATCGATCATTATCGATTATTAATCGATTACCTTTTATTGAATCATTATCGTTTTTCTTTTCCAATTTGATAGCTTTTGTTTTCGTTGTTTCAAATTTTTTTTTATCGAATTCTCTCGGTTGTATTTATTTGTTCTTTTTGTTATCATCATCATTATTTTTCTTTCTATTTCATTTACTAGATTCTGATTAATGTAATAATAATAATAATAATATTTCACCGTAGAAATTTATTCAGGTAATAAATTATTTATATTGCCATTTGTTTTTTTTCTCTCTCTCTCTCTTTCCTTTTGTTATTAATAAATACCACAATGGTTTCTCTGAACAATGAAAATCTAATTTTTAATTTTTTTTTTCTTTTATGTTGGAAAAAAAAAAAAACTTTTCCGTCGAAACAACAATATAACAACTCGTCTATAATATTAATTCGAAAAAAAAAACATTCGGTTTAGAAATTTTTCTGTTTTTTAACTCGACGACGATGATGATGATGATGATGTTTTAAAAATTTATACACGAATCGAAAAGTTTCTGAAACAAAAAAAAAGAAAAAATTTATTTTATTTTTTGCTATTATTAAATAATACGATTAATAATAATAATAGATTTAAAAATAGATTATCTTATTATTATTATTATTATTATTATAAAAAAGTTTTGAAAAAGACTTAGAGTGTGTGATGATAATTTATTAATTTAAAAAAAAAATTTATTTATATTGTTTAAAGAATTTTTAACCGAAAGGTATTTATTAATAATAATAATAATAATAATATTTAAAAAAAAAAAAAACTTGTTGATCTTCCTACCTCAATATATATTTTTCTATTTTTAAATTAAACCGCAGAGAAAAATTTCTTTTTTTTTTTTTTTTTTTTGCTGTTGTTGTCAATATGCCAGAGATTCTTGAGTAAAAAAAAAAACACTTTTATTAAGTCTTG